TGAAGGAGGCGGTTGTGACCTAGGGCAGGGAACTGGGGTGCAGGGTTTTGGGGTGTGACCTAGAGTAGGAGGGGATTGGGATCTCAGGCAGGAGGTTGGGGTGCCAGATCTGAGAGGGGGTATGGATGCATGTGGAGTAGCAAGGCAGGAGTGGGGGGCGGAGGGTTGGGGTAGCGAGGGGCTGGAATGCCAGAGGCAGGTTCTGGCAAGGAGACTTAGCCAGGGCCAAACCAGCCTTCCTGCCTGCCCACAGAGCTTAAACCGTTTCTGCCTGCTCAGCCATGTGCTTGAGTGAGTAACTGACCAGGAGGGTTGTGCTTCGTGGCTGCTTGTTATTCAAAAAGGCAGCTCCTATTGGCCAGTTTCTGCCCAGAAACAGGCCAATGGGATTGTGCTGGGGGCAGGAGTAGCGTCTGAATCTTCCCCCCCACCCGTACGAACTCATAAAGAGAAAGCATTCCGCAGTCACGTTTCTGCGCAGTGGGCCCCGATTGTGCCAGGGGTAGTAAGATGAGGGCCTGAAACAAAAGTCCACTTGTGGCTGCTTGTTATTCAAAAAGGCAGCTCCTATTGGCCAGTTTCTGCCCAGAAACAGGCCAATGGGATTGTGCTGGGGGCAGGAGTAGCGTCTGAATCTTCCCCCCCACCCGTACGAACTCATAAAGAGAAAGCATTCCGCAGTCACGTTTCTGCGCAGTGGGCCCCGATTGTGCCAGGGGTAGTAAGATGAGGGCCTGAAACAAAAGTCCACTTGGCACAGGCCTGGTGTGAGGCCTGAGGCCTGACTAACAATGGTCAAGATCTTGCTAAGATAAAGCCAAGTAAAGCTGTGAGCAAGAGGCAGGACGCGGCCCCCTGAACTGGGCACGAACAGGGCGCAGAGCATAGAACACTGGCAGCGGACTTTAGGGCTGGGGTTGGACAGGGTTTGGCTTCACGGGGGGAGGGGGGGCAGGGAGTTTGCTGCAGGGGCGGGGTCTAAGGCAGAAGGGGCGGGGCTGTGGCTTTCCTTCCCTAGCTGGGTCTTCACCCACCCCCCATGGAAACATCACCTGGTTAAAAAGGATTTTGGTACCCACACTCCCCACTTACTGACCTGGATTCAGGAAAGGAGCTAAAAATGACAGCAGGATGGAGTGAGATGTGCTAAACGCACCACCAGGTGCAGGGCGATGGGTGGTATCTGAGTAACGTCAGTGGGTGGTAGACTGACATGCCAGGAGGGAGGTGTAACTTGTCTGTACCTGTCTAAAAAGTGGTGTCTTGGAGAGGGCTGTCTTTGCCCAGCCTAGGGGACAGTGTGACTGCCCGCTGACAGCCAGTCCACTGTTGGGGATCTGCCGACAGCTATGACTGTACTTTGACAATAAAGCTGTCCAGGAGCCTTCGATCCATATCTGATTTTGTGGTCTATGAAGGCTTTCTCAGAGCCTGTCGCGAGGGCTGTTTGCACAAGACAACACAACACACAGAGGAGCACACACACACGGCCGAACCCTTCTCATCACTGACAGAGCCGGAGACCTGACGGGACACCACCCCAGTGAACCCTGACCCCAACTGGGATCTAGATTCCCGTTGTGCCAGGCACGGCGCAGACCCGCACCGAGATCAGGACCCCCGTGGTCCAGGTGCTGCCCAAACCCCGAACAAGACACATTCCCTGCCTCAATGAATTTGTAATTAAGGCTTCTGGGTTTTTTAGTTATATCACTTCCACTTTTGGGCAGTATTTTTAGCACTTGTTGTGCTTTCTGTCCATGTCAAACACTGGGTGTTTTGAGGACTTTCTCTGTCTTGAATAAAGTCTATTGTATACATGACTCATCACAACCCTCCACACCGTAATAAACAACCACTGTGTGATGGTCCTTCGTCGCTTTGTGATACGCTGGGAACGCTCAGTGCAAACCAGCAGGGTCTGCATGGACAAGTTAATGAGCAGCACACGAGTGCGCTTTAGAATCCAGACCCCCATCACTGCTCCATGTAGACAAGCCCATAGTTTACAGGTCACCATTTCCAGGTTGTTTATTTTTTCTGGTGTTCAGTGGATAAATACTGATACTGTTTTTGTCCAGGAGGGCTGATGTAATCTCTGTTATTGTTGAAACTGAAATTCTGCAGCCCTGTTTATCATCAGAACAGACCAAAGAATGGCCATTCTCCCCATGTTCCAGATGGGGAAACTGAGGCACGGAGGAGTGATGTCACTTGACCGAGCTAGGAGAGGAAGGGTACACCTGTGGTTAGGGTGCCCCTCTAGGGCACAGGCAGGATGAGTTTAATTCTCAAGTCTGCCACAGCAACCTTGGGCAAGTCCCTTAGCTGTTCTCTGCCTCAGTTTCTCCATCTGTGCAATGGGGATAAAGACACTGACCCCTCAAGCAATTTGGCCCAGTTACACAAAAGTGCTTAAGGGCTTCACTCCCCTCCACCACGGTGGGGCTGGGCCCGAAGGTCCACCGCAGAATTTGCGGTTTGAGATCGATGGAAGAAAAGCTCTTGCTGAGAACTAGGTATTATTGGAAGAACTTGAGCAAGACTGAAACTGCCACGTCCCAGCCCTGGTGCCCAAACCACATCCACCCTGCCCATGCCCAGAAGGGATGGAGCTGCCCCTTCCAGGGGAAACTGAGGTAATTAAAAAACTCCACTGCAAAAAAAAAAAGAGCGAGCCCAAACTAGAGACAGACACGCAATGAGCGTCTAGCAGGAAACTCCAGGCAGGGAGCCTGCAAAAGCCCCGTTCTGGAGGTGTAACTCGCTGCTGGCTCTGACAGTGCATTGGATGAGGAATTTGAAACTACGGCCACTGCTCCCACCCACACACGTGGGACTTTCATGCCGTTTCCTCATCAGTGACGGAGCTCCTCTCAGCAGATCCCAGAGGCTTTTCTCCCTCTCAGACCGGTGCAGGTGGCAAAGGCCTTCCTGGATGTGATTTGCAGAGTCCTGGGCAGGACAGGAAGTCTGAGCCCTGGAGGGGAAACTGAGGCACCAAGGGGGGACAGTGTGTTGGAAAAAGGCTCACACAGTGAACCCAGGGGGCCTGCCTTCGAATTCTCCCCCATAAACCTCTCATAGCATTGGCGCAAGAGCCCAGAAATCCTAGACCTCATCCCCGGCCCGCTCTAACCACTAGACCCCACTCCCATCCAGGAGCCAGGGATAGAATGCAGCTAGATCATATGGAGGGGAGGGAATCAGATAAGGCAGTGTGGCCTAATGCATAGAGCTCAGGGGCGGGAGAGTTGGTGTGTGCTCAGCCATAGCCCAGCTTGCAGAGCGGCTGCGGGGAGCAGGGGGATGGAGGGTTTTACCCCCCCAGCCCCAGGGGAGAGGAGGCAGGCCCATGACATGTTGCGTCACAGTGTTTCCGGTCGGCCCGGGGGCTGGGAGGCCGTCACAAGGAGCTGGTCGGTTTCCAGCCGCATTGCGTCAGGGCCACGAGGGCTCAGGCCGGGCAGGACACCGGTTGTAGGGGGGGGGACAA